CAAGTCGCATCGGTCTACGACCCTCTCGGATGGATGACTCCCCTCACATTGAACGCTAAACTGTTCCTTCAAAGTCTTTGGAGGTATGACTACAAATGGGACCAGCCATTGTCAGAAGGAACACCAAATCGAATGGAAGCAAGTTTTGGCGAAGGCTCAAGGATTCGAGAAACGAATCCCCAGGAAAACAAGTGATGGAACCACGACGGCACCGGCACACCTCGTAGCATTTTCGGACGCCAGCAAACAAGCCATGGCGGCATGCGTCTACATGGTGCACAATGGAAGTTCGGAACTTCTCATCGCTAAATCGAAGCTACCATCAATCAAGGATAATCCTACGATTCCGAAACTCGAGATGAACGCGCTCACTATGGCAGCTCGCCTGGCCAATGTTACTCTCCGAGCCCTGGAACGTCAGCTGCGAATTCAATCCGTCAACATCTACTCTGACTCGGAAATAGCACTCGCATGGCTAGCCGCTTCAGATCTGGACCGTGACGCTGGAGTATTGGTTCGAAATCGTTGCAAGGAAATACGTACCATCAGCGAGGACATGAAAAAGGATGGGAATCGATGTCACATTCGGCTACATCAACACGGACATCAATCCTGCTGACTGTGCAACTCGTGGACTCTCAAAAGGAACCCTCGCAACACATTTGTGGTGGAATGGTCCGCCATTTCTGGCTGAGAATTTGGATCAAAAGCATTGGCCTCCAACAACGGCACTACAGGATCGAACCACACCCGAGGAAGCCGTAACGATCGAAATCCATCAGAATGCAGCTGCTACAAATGCGAAGAAGCTGCCAAGCCGAGTAGAAGGAAATCGTGGATTGGAAGCGCTATTCATCCGTAGCACAAGCCACTTCCGTGTTCTCCTACGCCTTAAGATGGCTCAACCGAGTCGTGGCCAGAGTCAACGCCGACTTGAAACAGTCCATCTTAGAACACATTCCACAACTTCGCAAGTACTGTGACGACTTCCCTACCGTCTCGGAGCGTCAACAAGGCATTCTCGTTGCTCATACGGAACCATCCAACAAATCCACGTAGAAGGGAAAATCCAGCCCATCAAAAACCGCTTAGTGCCAGTCATGGATCCAAATGGGATCATCAGATGCAGGGGACGACTATTGAAGTCCGATTTGTCCGAGGAGAGCAAACAACCCATACTCTTAGGGACACAAACTTCCCTAGCGACCCTCGTCATACAGGATGCCCACAAGCGTTTCCATCTTGGAACCGCCCATACTATGGCAGAGGTACGGACTCACTACTGGATCCCACAATTGCGACGCCAAGTCCAGAAAGTCATACGAAGATGCGTACCATGTCAACGCAATGAACAACTTACCGTATCGCTATCCAGCTCTTACCCGATCTACCATCGCGTCGGGTCACCAGAAGTCGACCGTTTCAACACGTCGGAATCGACTACTTTGGACCAATCGCGATCAAATCCAACGGGGACAAAATGAAAGCCTACGGCATCATCATCACGTGTACGACAACTCGCCTCATCCATTTGGAATGTGTGGCCGACATGTCTACGGTGCAACTGCTAGATGCACTTCGACGATTCTTCGCCCGCCGTGGGGTGCCCGAAACGATAACATCCGACAATGCACCATACTTCTTGTTGGGTGATCAGATTCTTCGGGATGCCGCTTCTCCGACGGCACAAAACTCTACGTTAGCAGCGACGATGGCGACCAAAGGGATTACATGGCAGATGATCACCCCTTACGCTCCGTGGCAGGGAGCGTTCTACGAGAGGCTCATCAAGACCATCAAACATTCCTTGTACAAACCATTGGAAAGGCAGTACTAACGATGGAAGGGCTCATCACGCTACTAACAGAAATCGAAGGGACGTTGAACACACGCCCCTTGACGTACCAGGAAGAACAATGGGATGATCGTCCAACACTACGCCCTATCGACTTCATTCAACGGGACATGATCATCACATACCCGATGGATGGTCTTGAAAACACGTCGGACGATCCAGACTACCACCCGTCAGAAGAAACGCTCCAGCTCCATACCAGACGACAGGCTGAGGAAGCTCTTCGTAGCTCCTACCACCTCACTGAACAATTCTGGAAAATCTGGAGTGATGAATATCTGACCGCCTTGAGGGAACAACACACACGCTATCTGGCTAACAACCATGGTACACCGAAGGCTCCGACGCCAGGAACGGTTGTTCTCATTGTGGATCCCAACATGCCCAGAAATACCTGGAAAATGGGACGCATCACAAAAGTTCACACTGGCAACGAAGGAGCCGTACGCGATGTCGAACTCGCCTTACCAAACAAGCGCACGAACACGACGTCCCATCAATCTGCTCATTTCACTCGAACTGGAACGGACAGGAGACGGAAATCAATAGTATTACAGGAATCCTCTCACCTAGCTCAACGTCAGGCAACACCGACACATCGTCGGAAGGCTATCCAGAATCAACCACAAATGGCCGAGTCTCTGATTTGCAGGAAATCGCTCCATGGAAGGGTACATCTCGCACTGCCTCAGAGCGTGACAATCTTCGACGACGGCCAAAGATTGAATTACGATCTACTCCACAACGGACCCCTCCTTACGATTATTTGCGTTCTTGGACTCGTGGGATCCGTAATCCCTGGAACGATCTCTCCACGAATGAGGATAGGGATAGGCGAATCCAGTGGCACAATACAGTGTACACCAGACGGCCTACAAATCACGACCTCAGGAGTCAAGTCGTATGAGTTATGCTCAGAAGGCTACTGTCTACTACGTGACGATCCACCAGAAACGGAACATATACGCTTTCCACCAGAGATTACTCTACATGAGCACACGGTTCACTGGAAAGTGTCAAATGGAGCAAAGATAAAATCGACCGAAACGACTTGCCCGACCATTCCGTTCTGCCCCACAAGTCACCTGCTGGTTCTGCACAGCTAACCTCTTCAATCCCGAATGCCAACCTCGTAGGGCACTTATCATCACGGCAGTCAGCCTATACGTGATTATAGCCTTGTTGTACTCTCTATGCCACATCCTTGCACTGCTAGGACGACCAATCAAAATCGCATACAAGACCATGCGATGGATCTTTGGAATCAGCTTCAACATGGGACGAAGACTCATCCAGGGCAGACACGTTAGGATGCCACCACAAGGGCAACAGAGGGGACAACGATCCAACTCAAGAACATCGGGATTTGTACCGCTCATCCTAGTTGTCGCCACCCTACTTCCACTATTCGAAGCATGCCAAGACGTCGACGTCTTCGAACATAGGATGACTACGTGCACGAAGTCGATATTCCACAGACAACAGTGCAAAGTTGATGTCACAGAAATTATCAAACTCAACACCTTCAACAAGGAAGCGTGCCTACGCATCACTCACAAAGGTCAGATGCTCAAGGAAATTCGCCTACAATGGAAGCAGCTACAGTTGATCTGTGACAAACGCACCATCATGTACACTCGAGCAACGACGCAGCATGTGCTCAGCACCAAACGATGCCCTCACATAGGAAGCTGCGTGGAAAACAAATGCGCTGGAGTCAACACCACCAGCCTTATTCCAGAACTCATGGAAGCCAACCGATTTCCAGGAGTAACCTACTGCATCGAAAGCTGCGGAGGACCTGGCTGTGGATGCTTCTACCTCAGTAGCGGCTGCCTTTTCTACCGCATCTTCATGAGACCAGAAAGTGACAATGTCTTCGAGATCTTCAGCTGCTCGCGTTGGAAAGAAGAAGTTGTTCTACAAATAGCGGTGACAACAGGCAGCAACATCGCCTACAATGAAACGAAAACGCTAAGGCCAACCATTCCAACGGAAATGACAACCATGAAGCTCACGCTGAGTTCGCTTACCATACCTCCCACGCCAGCCTTGGACACGGCATTTATTTCCGTCAACAAGGATATGGCTCTGTGGGACAAACGAACATTGCCACCACTGCAGTGCACATCACAAAAGGCGGCCCAAGACTTGACGTGTGATGTCCACCCAGTGTGCAACTGCCAGCCAGCAGAAGACACCGTAAACTGCGTATGTGCCAACCAGGACCTTACAACAGGAATCTTCGCCGACATACGTCGACGACTTCCAATTCGAAGGCCGTGGATTACATTCGAGAAGATGGAGAATGAGCGGCACGATGCTACGGTTCTCGCAATCATACCAAGTCTGTCAACAGCAGAAGTACTTCTGACCAATCAACGAACATTTCGACACCACGGAAAAGGAAGTCTCGGACGCGATCTGCACGATTGATAACTCTATCATCAAGGGATGCTACCACTGCCCACAAGGAGCAGTGGCGACCGTACAATGCCACAGTCAGGATGAAGCGACGATGGCATCGGTTATCTGCGATGACGCCACCTTCACCGTACCTTGCCACCCACAAGGAGCAACCTCAACACTACGTTTCAGCTTCACACGAGCGCAAATTCGACAACAATGCACAACATCATGCGGAACGGTCAAAACACACTTCGAGCTCACTGGGATCCTGCACTGGACACGAACGATTGGAACGACTGCAGAGAGACTGATTGCAGGGCAAACCAAGGTCTACGACGAAATGGTTCTCCCAGACATCGGTCACATCTTCGACGTTTTCCTGTCCTGGTACAAGTTCGGGCTGACCGTCGGAATCCTCGCTCTTTTCAGCATAGCCATTGGCTACCTCTTTCTGTGGAGCTTCGCAGTACGTGTTCTTCTCCGGACGCTGAAACTGCTGGGAAAAGGCATTTACTCTAGCGCGCAATTCTGCGGCAACTGGAGTGTCCGCATCGTACGACGTCTACATCCAAAACACAAACGACGTCAAGCCCGCAAGGACCTATGAATGTCAAAAATGCACGCAGTGCACCTACATGTTAATCACGCATGCACGACGATAGCGCACCATATATGTAGTTCATTTATAGGCATTTTTCCCTTAACCGCTTCTATTACAGCTTCTATCACTCGTATAATGGTCAAAGGAAAGGAACCGTCAGAGAAGATGCCAATCGATCGCAAAAAGCAGCAGCCACCACCTCCTAAACTTCCGACAGCAGCAACGGCAAAACCGAGCATACCAAACAAGATGCAGTCGCCTACGATGCGTGGAGGCCAGGCGGAAGGCGAATCTAGCTCTAAGCCTCAAGCAAGCCGCCAGGAGGAAATCGAGAAGGCCTATAACAAAATGTTTCGAGGAGGAGCGACGCTGCTAAGCCTCGCGTACACCGACTTCGAGAATCTGCAGAAAGAAATCTCCAAACTACGGAAAGAGAAGCAGATCGACGTGGCAGCCATCACCAGCGAACTGGCCGCAATACGTGCATCAGGACCGAGCGATAGCAGTGCAGTCCAAGAGCTGCAAGAGATGTACCGTCAACAGCAACAGAGCCAAGAGACGGACTGGAAAAAGCTGAAAGAATGGCAAACGAACCTCGAACACAAAATCGAGGCGCTCCTCAAACTGAAGACCCCGTGCGCTCTCACGAAGGTCGAGCTGACGACTACGATTCGAAAGGAACTTGGATCACTTCGCCAGCACCAAGCCCACTTGATGGAAATCCAGCCGAAGCCACTGGTTCGAGACGACATCCAAGGGATCATCGACGACCAAAGGGAACTGCGCACGACGTACAAGCGCATCGAGGACAAAGCCGATCAAACAGCAAAGGACATCTCGCACATAATGGACAAAGTCGATCGAAACGCAAAAGATCATACGCACCTAATGGACAAGATTGACCGTAATGCGAGGGATCTCGTGAACCTGACGGTAACTCTGGATACTCTCCAGACCGATCTTCGCAACTTCTTCTCACAAAGCACCACTCGACCGTCACCACCGAGACGATCTGCAACGGACGATCACCACAACAGGACCAGTGCCGATGATACTCGCTCCACCAGCATCCGTGGATCAACTGAACCAGCAATCCGCTCCATCGTCACACGCGTACAGAGAGCGGACAAGGACGAATCGCGATCGCTGCAGCAGGTCCGGGACGACATTCGTACCGCAGATGACGACCTTCGACGCCTCAAACGACGCATAGAGGACACACTGCGCGAGAACAGAACTGATTCCGCTAGCCGACTCCAGGAACTCCACGAGGATAAGCAACGGCTCATCGCTCGTAAGGAAAGACTCGAAAGCACGGAAAGACGCCTTACAAGGAAATCGAAAGCTCAACAGGAGGATCGCGTGGAACAAACACCATCTCACAAAAGGACTCGTCACGATTCCCGCGAACGCGTCTAGGGAATCCTGTCAAAGCAACGGCGATCACCTTCCGGGGCCGGGAGTATATCGATTCCCTCGATTACCTCTGTCATCGATAGCTTACCTAGGTGTCGTCTGTTGTTACAGTATATCGATTCTCTCAGTGCCTATGTAACAGATAGCTCACCCTCGTGTGACCTGTTATTAGCGTAATACTCATTATTGTACCTCCACCATAATCTCCAACCATTTTTCTCCTCAATTAGATGACTCATTCCTGTAAGTTCGCATTTCCTCAATCGATGAGCTTCTTCGGTTGAGTCATGTTGAGATTCTTTGTGCTCGCGCACCCTATCAGGAGCACCATCTATAAACAACCACGGCTTCACCCCTGACCCCGCCTCCTCGGCATTCTCTTGCTCGTGCCATCGCCTCGGACGGTCGGGTTTCCACCGTCGGTCTATTTCATTTATTATTCACTTATTATCCTTCACTTTTGATCTACCATTATACGGTCCATGCAATAGGAACTCACATCAGGATCATCGTCGTGCCTTTCAACTCACATAACTCACTTCATTTTGGCTCAAATCGCTCACAATTTGAACCTATTGATCGCCTTCACGTTTATAATGTTTATTTTATGTAAAATATTATATAAACGTTTAATTACCCAAGTTTGAGATCTGGTCTACCAAGCAAAAGTCCCGCGTGGCAACTATTGGCGACATCCTCCACA